TCAGTAGAGCCAGGAAGATTTATGAGTTTATCGAAAAAATAGGAATTGATAAAATCAAATATATCAAAACATATAGCACGAATTCTATTGCAGAATTATCTGATAGTAAAATTCAAACTATTATTAATTACTTCTTCAAGAATCTCAACACTGAATTACCAGATGAACAGGATGACTCTATCATAGATTCTGAAGAGGAGGTTTCAAATGATCAGACTAATTCATCAGAAGCAGTTTCAGCTAAAGTAAACATATCAACCATACCTATTCCTTTAACACATATCTCTAATTCTTTAGATAATTCCTCAAAATTCGGTCTAGTCAATTTACCCAAAGCTGAGGATGATTTTGATAAAATGGTTATGGAAGCTTTCGAGGAGAAAGAGGCTAGTCATTCTGTGTCTGCCTCCTGCAATTCGAAATATGAGATGGGTAAGAAAAAGGAATCTTTACCCAAGGAAGAGATAAGTATACCTGATAATTCCTTAGATTTTAATTTTGATTCTTCTGATGTTGATAATGTCAATAATGAAAATGATAACGAATTCTTTGATAACAATGAAGAGGAAGATAATGATGAGTTCTGTAGATTTTCTGATGATGATGATGAAGATTATTATTATGATTTAAATACTGGTGAAACTTATATAAAATTGGACCATTCAATCTGCGCATATTAACTAGTTTCACTAATAAATATTATATAATACAATAATACCGGAATTTATATAAATTAGGTCCAGAAGCAGAAATCATCTAAGATATTCCTGAGGGCTGGTAACATTTTTTTTTGTTTTAAATTACAAACTTTTTCATGATTCTATAGAATTTGACAGAATTTTTAATGGGATATATCAAAATGAAATTCAATCAAGCATATTGTTACCGTAGTAACATAAATTTCTTTAATTTCATAATTTTTCGAACTTGGAAAATACGACCAATCAATTGATCTTTAGATAACATATGATTTCAAATAATATAATTGGTGTATCAGTTATGGATTCAATCACGATTCAATAACATTTTTGCAATGTTCTTGCAACATTTTTGCAATGTTTTAAGAGCATCAATAAGTAATTAATCTCGAAATCAATAACAGTTCACAAACAGTTCAATAATGGTTCAGAAATACTTCAGAAACGGTTCATCAACAGATTTCATTTATTTTTATTCTTAACTTTTTTTTTTTAGAATTTATATCTTATCTTTTCATTCTATTTCGTTATTTATATCATTATTTAACTTACCACATGTATCTTATATCTTATTTTTATTTGTTCGTTTATTGATCTTTTGCCCCAAAGATTGTAATTATAATCTAGAGTAGTAAACGAGTTTAGATAGAAACTTGTAAAATCTCAAAGATGTATAAATATCTCTGTCCTGAGACCTGAAATAAACGTACTTGAATAGCAATAATTCAATTGTCTTTTG